TCCTTTGTATTTCTGTGGTATCTGTTGTAATTTCTCTTCTTTCATTTCTAATTTTATTTATTTGAGCCTTCTCTCTGCTTTTCTTAATGAGTCTGGCTAAGGGTTTGTCCATTTTGTTTATCTTCTCAAAGAACCAACTCTTAGTTTCATTGATCCTTTCTACTATTGTTTTGGTTTCAGTTTCGTTCATTTCTACTCCAATTTCTCTTATTTCCCTTTGTCTGCTGACTTTCGGCTTTGTTTGTTCTTCTTTTTCTAGTCCTGTTACTTGTAGTTTAAGATTGTTTATTTGAGATTTTTCTTGTTTGTTAAAGTGTGCCTGCATTGCTGTGAATTTACCTCTTAGGACTCCTTTTGCTGCATCCCATATGAGTTGGTATGGTGTGTTTTCATTTTCATTTGTCTCCAGATATTTCTTGATTTCTCCTTTAATTTATTCAGTGATCCATTGGTTGTTCAGCAGCATCTTGTTTACCCTCCACTCATTTGTCACTTTCCTAGATTTTTTCTTGTAATTGGTTTCTAGTTTCGTAGCATTATGGTCAAAAAGATACTTGACATGATTTCAGTCTTCTTAAATTTCTTGAGGCTTACCATGTTTCCCAACATATGGTCCATCTTTGAGAATGTTCCATGTGTATTTGAGAAGAATGTGTATTCTGCTGTTTTGGGATGGAGTGTTCTGTAGGTACCTATTAATTCCCTCTGGTTGACTGTTTTTTTTAATTCCACTATTTCCCTGTTGACTTTCTCTTTGTGTTATCTATCCATCGATGGAGGGTGTCTCCTACTATTCTCGTGTATTGCTGTTAATATCTCCTTTTAGGTCTGTTGCATACTTTGGTGCTCTTATGTTAGGTGACTGTATATTCATAAGTGTTATGTCCTCTTGGACTGTCCTTTTTATCATTATTTACTGTCCCTTTTTGTCTGTTATTGCCTTTTTTATCTTGACGTCTACTTTGTCTGATCTAAGTATGATAACACCTGCTTTCTTTTCTTTGCCATTATCTTAGAGTATCATCTTCCATCTCTCCACTCGGAGCCTGTGTCTGTCTTTAAAGCTGAGATGTGTTTCTTGAAGGTGGCATGCTGTTGGGTCCATCCTGCCGCTTTGTGTCTTTTGATTAGAGAATTCAAGCCATTTACATTTACAGTGATTATTGATATATGAGGGCTTAATGCTACCATTTTATCACTTGTTTTCTAGTTATTCTTTATTTCCTTTGTTTCTCATCCTGTGTCTTTCGGTCTGCCAATTCAGTTTGGTGGTTCTCTATGATGGTTTTCTCTGTTGTCTCTTTATGTGTCACTTGTATCTGTGTTCTGATTATTTGTTTAGTGGTTACCATGAGGTTTGTATAAATGATCACATAGATGAGATAGTGCATATTCTGATAGTCTCTTATTTCCTTAGTCTAAGCAGCTGCCATCCCTTTCCTCTTCCCCATCTAAGTTACTGTTGTCACAACTTATTCTGGTTTGTGTTGTCAATTTGTGATTAAAGTAAAGTGATTATAGTTATTTTTGATGCTTTCCTTACCTTTATCTTTAATGTTATAATTATTTGCTAACCTCTTCTGATAGAGAGTTTTAATTTTGTTTGCCTGTTTATCTCCTTGCTCAAGGCTTTGTAAACCCTTTTCTTTTTCCAGGTATGAGGGCCTTCTTGATAATTTCTTGTAAGGGGGAGTCTTGTGTCTCTGAAGTCCCTCAGCTTTTGTTTATCTGGGAAAGTTTTTGTTTCTTCATCATAGCTGAAGGATATTTTTGCTGGATAGAGTATTCTTGGCTGAAAGTTTTTGTGTTTCAGAATTTTGAATATATTATTTTACTCTCTCCTAGCCTGTAAGGTTTCTGCTGAGAAATTCACTGAAATCCTGAAGGGGGTTCCTTTGTAAGTTCTTCTCTTCTACCTTGCTGCCGTTAATATTTTTTCTTTGTTATTGACTTTTGCCAGTTTTACTAATATATGCCTTGGAGAAGGTCTTTTTACATTGATGTAGTTAGGAGATCTGTTCTCTTCTTTTACTCATAGTTCCAGCTCCTTCCGCAGGTTTGGGAAGTTCTCAGCATCATAGCAACACACAGATGCCACAGCATGACAGCCAGCAGATGGGTGGTGTGGTTCCCTGACCAGGACATGAACCCGGGCTGTGGCAAGAGCGCCAAATCTTAACCACTAGACCACCAGGGGTGGGTTTGGAAGTATTAATGATATGTTTTTAAAATTTTTCTCTTCATAGTCTCTTCTTTCCTCTAAATTGGGATTTTGGGGTATGTGTGTGTTTGTTTTGTTTTCTCCTTTTCATGGTAGAGGCTTTCCTCATATATCTTAGAATCCTTGGTTGTCTGCTCCTATTTATGAGTCGGACTAAAAAACCAATTAGAAGCTCTGAGTGCATGGGTGGAGCTTGTTGACTGTGAGATTACTAGTATCTATTTCTTTGAAATTATCTTAAATTTAATATTATAAAATATTCTAGAAATGGGTAATTAGATTTAAATCTTATAGTAAAATAAATGCCAATTGGATTAAAGAGTTGGATATAAAATTTAAATTCAGAAAAACCAGGGGAAAATAGTATGGATTATTTGTCAGGTTAGTAAAGAAATTTATTTTAAATTTGAGATCCAAAGATTTAAAATAAAAAAGTGAAAAAAAATTGATAGCTTCAGAGGGTAATCATTAGTTATGTATCTGTGTATCTTTGCATGTGTAAAATTCACCCTTTTAGACTTGTACAAATTGATAGGTCCCATTAGAGGCATTCTGTATTGCTGTGCTCAGAGCTAGGAGACAAAAGCCATTCTAAGGAGTACTTTGTTCATGTTAGACTGTTGTAAAGCCAGGTTACTGATCTCCTGAGATGGTAACCTCGATCGGAGGCATTGTCTATCCTAATTATTGAACAGAGAGTGAGGGAGCTAGTGAGACAGGAGAAAGCAGAGGGAGAGGCATGCCTGCCTTAGAGAATTCTGAATTAAGGTGCAGATGACAATACCAGTCATCTTTTTAGCATTCTCATACCTAGCTGTTTGGGCCTGCCAGGTGTGGATAATGTGGCCACAGTGAGTAGATACTACCACCAATAGAGAATCTACAGATTCTTTCACAGTTGCCATTGATAATGGTGAATACTCTGCCAACAACGGAAGAAATACGTGCCCTTTCCCAGTAATTTCAGGAACAACCAGACTAGAGGTTTACCTTGTCCCTAACTTGCAAATTGGCAGGCATGCTCACATCACAGGGTGTAGTTCTGACACAGTCAAGTGATAGCTTGATTAAGGCATGCCCTGGCAACCTGTGTAGTGATACTCTGTATCGTCTTCTTAAACCATTGGAGATCTTTGTTGCCAATGAAAGGGAAAATGATGGAAACAGCGTTAAGAAATTGATTCTAAGGCATGTTTCTAGATGTTTAGTATCCACCGAATTTGAAGGTGAGTGACAGTTTTACTCATATCTGGGCCTGAGATGACAAATAGATTTTTAATTCACTGCCAACTTTGATTAATTAGTAGTGGCTGCCTGGAGCAGTTGTAAGAAGTGTTCTGAGGCAACATCTGGGCTTCGATGGAAAGATAGGTCGAAAAGATTATTGATACCTGCCAATAGAATAGGAAGAGGGAGAGGCAGTGTATCAGGCTAGTTCATCCCCTTCATTTTACCTCTACTTGCTGATGTGTATTTTTGGCTTCCCTGTTACTTAGAATGTAGCATTCTAAGTAGAATAGAATGAAACAGGAATAAGTGGACTCTCTACAGGGTAGGCCCTTTACACACTCGGCATCTAGCTACCTCAGTGCTAGGCTCAGTGAATCAAAGAATGAATGAACTGAGACCAGGATTTGTGAAATATCTAGTTTTCCATAGTGAGGGCAGGGACAGGACTAGGCCCCAGCTCTTCCACACAGTGGTGTTACTCTCCTGCATGACGTAGTGCTTGGTGAGTACAGAATACCAAAAGAATATAGTTCCTATTCCTACCACCAAGGAGCTTGTATTCTGGTTGGGAAGAAAAGACAAAAACGTGTTTGAAGTGATTAGAGCTTTGTATGACAGCATCGTTTGTAAGAAAGTGCTAAAATTTCTAGTCTGGGCCCTGAAAATGGGTGGCATAGATATGAATGTAAAAGTACATTTCTTTGGAATCTCAGCCTTTACGCTCATTCCAGTGTATCTGTGTTGTGCTTGGGAAAGCCTCTTTTCTTTTTCTACAAGGTAAGATTACCAACCCTCCACCTCACCCCATCCCACCCCCAGTTTTCCTTTCATTTTTGGTGTCACTAGGATGGAATATTTTGACGGGTTAAGGAGTTTTGCTTCAATTTAAATGATCCATTAATAGAAAATAAATGGCATGCAGATTTTTTTAAGCTGAAGATTATCCAGTCACAACATTTGTTTCTAGAGAAATTATTTATAGCATTTTGAATTAAGTGTAAGGCACAGAAAAGCCTTTGTATTGAATATGAGTGCATTTTGAAAATCTTTATCCTATGTAATTGACAGTCTGTACTTAGACAGAAATAGGAGAAATAGACACTTTTCATAATGTGTATATGTTGTGTAGAGCAGTTAAGTTAATAGAGTGCAGTCAGTCAGTTTAATATAATGTCTGAGAGCACGAGCTCTGGGTTCTGACCTTCAGGGCTGGCATCTTCACCCTCCCTAACTATATGACCTTAAGTAAGTTATGGGATCTCGATTTCCTCATCTATGAAAGGGGGATGATAATAATCCCTTATATGGCTGTAAAAAGGATTAAACAAGATCTTTCAGATAGAGCCCTTAGGTTAGTGCTTGGTCAGTAGTAAATGCTCAATTATTGTTGGTTATTGTTAGTGTTATTAATATAGTTACTGTTATTGTTATTAGGTGAGTTTGTATCATTGATTTTTCGGAGTATGACTCAACTTCATGTTAGTGTTGTAATATAGTTGACTGTAAACAGTCATGGTTAATAGTTTATATATATATTTTTTTCATACAGATTGAATGTAATTTTTACAAAATTTGATGAAGTTCAAAAATCTGGAAACATGATACAATCTGCAAATGGTGAGTAGAAAAAGCAATCGTTCGTTCTACTTTAGCTTTTTCAGTTTTATGTCAATAATACTTATACTCTTTCTGAGCAGCTGAATTTGATATCTTGAAAAGGTTTTCTAGGTCTTCAGACTTAACCTTCATTTATGTACCTTCCCAGACCAGAAACTATGGACTTATCGTTGGGTTTCTTTTGCAACCTACATTGGATCCATGATCTAATCTTGTTGGCTTTACTTTAGAAAATACACCTAGAATCTTGATGATGCTCCCTCTAACTGCTGCTCTTCCTCTAATGCAAGCGGTCATGGTAATTTACTGTGCTCTTGTGGTAGCCTTCCACCAATATCCTTGCTTTTACTCTCTCCCGGCGCCTAAAGTGTGTTTTTCACACAGCAATCAGAGTAATCCTTTTAGAATGTAACTCGTGATCTTAATCCCCTGTTCAAAATCCTCCAAAGGTTTCCTGTCACTCAGAGCCTACAGTTTAGTGCCTCACTGTGGTGCACCAGATGCTGCATGATCTGATGCTGACCACCATTCTGATGTCATCTTGTAGTGTTCTTCCCAGAATTTCTCTTGGCTCCAGTCCCATTGTCATCCTTGCTAATTTTGAAGAGTCTAAGCTTCTCCTGCTTCAGGGCATCTATACTTAGGATTCCTTTTGCTTAAAGCATTCGTCCCCGGGTGTTCTTATGGCCCTGCCCTCCTTCCACGCAGACCTTCGTCGCAGTGCCACTTCATCACAGTGCCACTTCATCACAAAGACCGTCCAGAGCAGCACATCCAGTGTCGTAAGGAGACTCTTTGTACCCTCATCCTGCTTGATTTTCCTTCTTGGTGCATATCACTGTAAAATATTTTTTATTTATTCATGAGGGCAAGAGCTTTGTTTTGTTGCATTCTTTATCGTTAGTGGTTCAAAAAGTTCTTGGCATGTTAGGTACACAATAAATATTGTTGAATAAATAAAATAATAACAGACTTGCATTCTGATCTTTTGTTTCCAGTACATGTATTCCTTTTACTGTACTTTGTGATATTTGAGGACAAGTGAGTAATTCCTATGATTCCAGAAGGGGAAAAAAAGACACAAGTATATTATTGTATGAATGAAGTCATCAAAAAGTCAATTGCCAACAAGAACTTTTTCTAACTCTGGATACCTTGCTGCTATTTCAAAATTGCTAGAGAACTTATTGCATAGCTTTCAAATTTTGAATATCTTGAGATTGTAAAAAAGTTTGAGTGATTTCCTCTGAAGTGACAGTACGTAAGTGCTGAGCAGGAACAGAATCCAGGTGTTTTGACTCAGCTACTATGTACCTGCCGGCGTTGGTAAGGAATTTGTCTTTGGAGAGCATGTTTCTTATAAAATGCTTGAAGTGTTCTAAAATTGCTTTCATTACCTGATTCCTTTTTCATATGTTTGTACAACTGTAACAATATTGGAAGAAAAAGAGGAATAATATTCACCACAATTCTGCTGTCACCAACAAATCAGTTTTCCTTTTTCCATGTTGTCTTATATTTCATTTTCCTATAACTGTATAATTTGTATGTAATTTTAACCATGGCATAATTTCTGTACATTACCCCCTACTTTTGTATATAGTTTTATATATGCTTTGAAAAATGTATCATTGGTAGAGCTGGGACCAGAACTCTGGCCTTGGAGTCATGCTGCAATGATGAGTAGGTGTGCACGGGCATGGCTGCCTAGCCAGTTGCTAGACACATGCATTTGATTTTGTGTGTGTATATTTGTGTGGTTTGTGTAGTTTCCCAGTTTAAAACTTCTTGGCACCAAAATAGAAAGTACTGGGCAAGGAGGTAGTAGTGGTGGCAGGTTAGTGAGTTTGTACTTCATAGCCTGTATTATAACTATGAAATAGAATCTGATTATAATTCTGGCATTGGGGAGAAGGACCATATCCATGTTGGAGGCCTTGCCTAGAAGAGTGTATATATACTTTATGAGTTTCAGTGAACATTATATATATGATTTAATCATCAAGAATACCAAAATCCTCTGGCATTGGGTGCGTCACAGCAACTTTTTTTTTGGTGAGGAAGAATGGCCCTGAGCTAACATCTGTTGCCAATCTTCCTCTTTTTACCTGAGTAAGATTGTCTCTGAGCTAACATCTGTGCCAGTCTTCCTCTGTTTTGTATATGGGATGCCACCACAGCATGGCTTGATGAGTGGTGTTTAGGTCCGTGCCTGGGATCCGATCCCATGACCCCCAGGCTGCCAAAGTGGAGCACGCGAACCTAACTGCTATGCCACCAGGCTGGCCCGATGGCAACATTTTGTTCTAAATGTCTAGGTGTAAATATTCTTCCCAAATTTCCTTATTCTTGTGGGATATTTGTGTGTATATGTCTATGTGTGTATGTAGGAGTAGGGTTGAGAATGAAAACACTTCTTTTAGGCATCTTGTTAAAAATAGCAGATGGTAAGGAAGCCTTAACTCCAAACTTACTGGAGGCCTGTAATTTCAACTTTTTTGCTGTATATATGCAGTATTACTATTTTAATTGGTAGAGCCAAAATAGAATAACCTGAAGACATATGTATAAAGATTTTAGAATTCCTAGAGCAAATGAGTTTGGTCCCCTTATAGTAACTTTGAGAGACCAGTAAGATGTTTAATTGCTGTCAAAAAACAAAGCACCTAATTTCGTTCATTGCTAGAGTCATTCAACATTTAGATGGCATAGGGAAGCCACACTAGCAATGGAATAAAACCCATTCGCCCTTCTAATTTTTGTTTTTTGCCCAGCGACTCCCAGTGTCACCGTTTTTTGAACTCTTCTGGACTTCAGATCATTGACCACTCTACTTTTTCTCAACCCATCCACCTTCTGCTTTCTCCACTTTGCTCCTTAGACACCTTCATTATGACCTTTCTGAACTTTCTTATTAATTCTAGGAGTTTTGTAGATTTCCTGAAGAGACAAGCATGTCATCTGCAAATGGGAACAGTTTTATCTCTTTCAGATCTCTATACTTGTACTTCTTTTTCTTGCCTTATTGCCCTGGCCAGAACTTCACCACTGTGTAAAATAAGAGTGGTGAGAGTGGATATCCTTTCCTGGTTCTCAATCTTAGGTCTGTCACAACTAAGTGTCATGTTAAGTGTAGGTTTTTTGTAGATGTTGTTTAGCAAGATGAAGTAGTTCTCAACTATTCCTATTTATCTGAGTTTTTATCACAAATGGGTGTTGGGTTTTTAAAAAAAAATCACCATATTTTAAATAATGAGATGTAATTCATATCAAAAATTATTTTTTTAAAAATGTATAATTTATTTGTTTTTCATATATTCACAAATTAGGCGATTATCACCGCTGTTTAATTCCACATTAATTCCAGTTTGTTCATCACCCCCAAGAACACCTGTGCCCATTGGCACTCCCTATTTCCTTTTCCTCCCAATCCCTGACAACCTACTTTCTGCCTACGGATTGCCTATTCTGGACGTTTTATATCAATGGAATTTTACAAAATATGGCTTTTTGTGTATGGCTTCCTTCACGTAGCATAATGTTTTCAAAGTTCATCCATTTGGTAGCATGTATCAGTACTTCATTTCTTTTTATTGCTGAATAGTATTTCATTGTATAGGTATACCACATTTTGTTTATTCATTCATCAATTGATGGACATTTGGGTTATTTCCACTGTTTGACTGCTGTGAATATTTGTGTAAAAGTTTTATGTGGACGTATGTTTTTGTTTTGTGTATATAACCTTACAGTGGAATTGCTGGGTCATATGGTAACTCTATGTTTAACCTTTTGCATCACTGCTACACTGTTTTCCAAAGTGGCCGTTCCACTTTGCGTTCTCACCAACATTGCCTGAGAGTTCCAGTTTATTCACATCCAAGTCAATGTGTGGTGTTGTCTGTCTCTGATTAGAGTCATCCTAGTGGGCATGAAGTAGTGTCTCACTGTGGTTTTGATTTGCGTTTCTATAATGACTAATGATATTGAGCATCACAATATCCATATTGTGCCTATTGGCCATTTATATACCTTTTTTGGAAAAATGTCTATTCAAGTCATTTGCCATTTTTGTTATGGAGTTAATTGTCAGTTTGTTGTTGTTATGAGTTCTTTATATATTATGGATAGAAATCTCTTATCAGATAGAACGATCTGCAAATATTTTCTCCTTTTCTGTGGATTTTCATATCCTTTTTTTGATGGAATTGTTTGCAGCAGAAAAGTTTTTAATTTTGATGTAGTACAATCTTATCTCTTTTTTACTTTTATTGTTTGTGCTTTGGGTCTAAGAAAACCTGAGAAATAGATTGATATCTAAGAAGTCATCGACTAATCCCCAGTTACAAAAATTTACACCTATGTTTCCTTCTAAGAGTAGTATAGCTTTAGAGCTTATATTTAGGCCTTTGATCCATTTGAGTCATTTTTCGTGTATGGAGTGAGGTAGATCTCCAGCTTCGTTGTTCCGCGTGTGAATATCCAGTTATCTCGGCACCATCTGTTGCAAAGACAGTTGTTTTCTCCATTGGACTTTCTTGCCACCCATCTCAAAAATCAGTTGACAACATATGTATGGATGTATTTCTGGACTCGAAATTCTACCCTATTGATCTATATGTTTAGTCTTAGGCCAATACCACACAGTCTTGATTACTTGAGCTTTGTAGTATGATTTGATATTTAGAAGTTTTTTTTCAGCTTTGTTCTTCTTTTCAAGATTGTTCTGGCTATTCTGGGTTCCTTGCATTTCTAAGTGAATTATAAGATCACCTAATGTCAATTTCTACAAAAAAGGCAGCTGTAATTTTGATAGGGATTGTGTTGAATCTGTTGATCAATTTGAGGAGTTTTGCCATCATAATAATATTGTCTTCTAATCCATTAACATAAGATATCCTTCAGTTTATTTGTCTTTAATTTCTTTCAACGTTTTGTCGTTTTCCAGTGTGTACAAGTCTTGCACTAATTTTGTTAAGTTTGTTCCTAAGTATTTTATT